TTCGCTGCCTGCTCCTTTTCAGCCGCACTTATCATAGGTCTCCCATTCCGTTTCGGAAGAACTTTTTTCATGTTCCTCTGCTTCAAACTCTCTATAGCCTCCTGGTATATCTCATTCACATCCGCAGCCGTCGAGAACAACTCTACATCAACCTGGGATTTCCCAATATTCATTACCGCCCCCAGGTCGATTTCTACTGAATCTTGTTTCGTTCCCCAGGAAATCTGAGATTCGCATAGAAGAAAGGGTAGCGAAGCATTTAATTGAGTATCACAGAAGGAGCCGGACGACTACAAGGCGTACTCACATCGTCGAGATTTGAGAATGCGTAAATGTTCAAAATATTGATGTACGTCGGCGAGAGTAACATATACGGAATGAAACTGGTGAGCATATGCCACGGATCGAATGCTAGCACGCTGCTGGTGGCCCATACTAGATTCATAGTTTAGATAATGCAAAGACGCCAACGGTCACACCGAATTACCCACATCCGTAGGTTATAATCACGCTGAAAAGCATCACCGAGTTAGCATCCCCTCCTTGTTGCGCTGCTTTGATCGAACATTTGACAGCAGCGAAGGACATGTACACCATGGAGAGAGCAAGAAGAATAGTCATGAGTAGGTATTTGAACTTGGACCTGTATGTAGAGATCCCTCTCGTCAGCACAGTCCCGTCTTCGTGATGGAAGGGACTCCGCTCACGCTTGAGGCTTGTTGCCCATGGAGAACAGGAAACATGCGGCGATCATGAATGCTAGAAAGTACTATTATACAAGCATAGGGGCATGCTTCAGTATCAACCTCACTCATAAAGAGCTAGGCCCACCTGTATTATGGGGTTGACGTCTTTAATCCAAGTCATCCCAAAAGATTCATCTTCCAACGACGACGTCAATACCACCTTCGAAGCACAGCCAACAACCAAGCGTTAACTATTCTTTTCGCTTCACATCAAGGGTGATAGAAACTGACTTACAAAGAACAAGTAAAAATTTCCCTAAACCAAAAACGATAATAGCTCAGCACACCTCTACCTCAAGAAGTGAAAGTGATGGACCAACTTACAATGCTGAACCAAGCAAATATGATACTAATAATATTATATATTGTTTCACACAACAGCACAACCTTCCTCGCCGCGCTATGTCCCGAGCGCATGATCTGCCCGACATGGGTAATCGCATACGTTGCTGCGAAGAACGAGCCGTTCAACCACCGTCGACGCTGACTAATAAACTCGGGAAGGGAGTCGGGGACATCGGTTTCGCCGACTGCACCTTTAACGTATTTGAGGATCCTACAAAAAGAAAACAAATCAGCAATCGATCGAGTTGAATCGTATCATCTGAGAGCCGTACCAGTTCGACTGAGCTTTTGCCACAAGTTCAAAACAGAGAATGCGCTATATATTTGCAAGGGGTGATCAACAATCTTCAATCTCGGATGGTTGGGGAATTCAAATACATCTTCAGCGAGATCTAAACAACGAGCGGACATCATCAGCGTCTGTTTCACAACAGTAGAGGTGACGGCGAGCATTAATAGACTCACTCACACATATTGGAAGTAAAGATATCCGTATCACGTCCATGGAGAACCTCTCCTTTGAAATAACTTGCCAGTGGACCGACGCCTTTCTCGTTGTTCTGTAGTGCAATATATCTGTTATCAAAAGTTCAGCTTCTGAAGAGGCTCTTGAATTGGGCCTCGTACCTGTATGCAGAGAACGCGCCAGGCTAAACAAATAACGGATCTCGTTTCTTAAGTATGGATGACACGATACGGGAGCCAAGTACCGACAGACTTACCAGAACGCTGATGTACCCAAACAAACTCTCAGTAGGTTTATCCAATATACAACTGATCTTGTATTCAAAGTTCTGTGCCGCAACTGCCAATGGAAAGGCATCATCAGCGAAAGGGACCGAACATAATGTAATGTGAAAAATGAAACAAATACCAAGCGGGTTTAAAAGTAAAGACCAATTCTTGCCCTTGTACGCGGAAATCTCGCCACACGCTCCCGCCACGTTGGAGTTCAGGTCAAAAGTCTTCCAAAGTCGATAGATACTTTTATTGCCTGGTCGTGTTCCGACATCGAGCAATACGCAGACGTTTGGCTGCAAAACGCTCGCAAAAGCATTAAAGAACCACCTATGACTATTAATCTTCCTCTGGTTCTTCTCCTTCATGCAGAATATGATCTGTGTCGGTACGATCCCTTTGTCCGGATACTTGAAATGCAAGTTCGGGTCCAAACCGAATGACGCAGTGTATTCGAACAAGTGCGCGGTAACTTCTTTGTCGTCGATAAAGTTCTTCATGTAAGGTCCGGGTTGGTAGACTCCTAGAAGGGTGAGGCAGTCGAGGACGCGCGGGTGGATCTTTTTTCGGCCGTCGGCGACAATGCAAACTACTACCTGGGATATACAGTGAATACCGTTGAAACTGGGTAACATGAGATGAGAAGTAGAACCTTCTTCCAAGCATCAGCTCCCCATGTCTGCGAGCTTTTCCGCGTACACAGATGCTGGATATTTTTCATGACACCATAGACCGTTCGACAGAAGAGAATCTCGTCCTCCTGTGTGTATTTATGAGCGATAAATAAAGTTGAAAACAAACACACCAGACAACGCACATTATACATCGTGATCACGATAAACATTTCCGTCGTCCTCTGCATCTCCACCTGCCTTAATGAGAATCCCTGCTTTGAAAAATCATCTGGATCACACGTCACAGCGGTATACCGCGTCTGCATCATCTCTGGCTCTCCCATGCGTGGTAGAACTAAATTCGGAGGCACGGGGAGTTCCAAGACTAGATTTCCTCTAGTCAACTGCACTCGTTTCTTCATATTGTGTCTACGCGTGACTCGACCACTTGGGGCAGGACCAAAATGCCGTGTCTCGACGGGGGTTATGGGTTCGGTTGGAGTAGGGAGAGAGTCGTAAGCGTATCGAGAGTCATAGGATGAATAGTTGTTGTAATTGTTGTAGTCATCTGCTTTTTCCGGGTCATGTAGTCCTCCTGTGTAGTGAACGCTGTCATTCCCGACGACATAATAATCTTCATCGTCGCCAGCGGGAGTCGGAGACCGAGACCGCGGAGGAGGAACGCTTCGAAGCCCAGTTGTAGATGAATAAGCGGACCCAGCTGAAGTATAAGAATGAGAAGCATAGGAATGACTTGAGGTTGCAGCATATTCTGGTTGGTAGCGGAAGTACTCCTCCGACACAGAATCATTATGCGCGTAGGACAGCGTGGAAGAAGGATTACTTTGCGTGTAAAGTGTTGAGTGTTCATCAAGCTGTAGTGTTTCTCCTGTATGTATGGGCGCAAGATGTTGACCTGGCTGGTATCTGGGTACCGAAGCGGATGATGATCCTAGGTATTCCGTGGAGGCGTATCCTGAGTATTCTCCTTCCGTGCTGCTGGAAGGACCATATTCATATTCATCCGCAATGTCGTCTGAATCGTCGTGAGATGGATGATAGTTGTGGGCAGAATCATCATAAGAGTCAAGTCTGTGGAACGCCATGCCGATAAAGCTTAAGTTGTAGTTTGAGGATCAGAAGCAAAGAAGCTGGTTGAACGCGTTGAAACGGCACGTGGGCGTGGACCCTCATGCCATTACTCATCTTCGGAAACCTTCTGTTCTTAACCATGTTAAGCAGGATTCGGCTATCTCCTTGTCAACCTAGGTCAAAACCTGGTCAAAACGAAGCTGCTGCATAGTGTCCGGCGTCCGTAGTCATACTTCAATTTTTGCCCTGTCATCCTTCCCACACTTCCTCCTCTACCCAATCACCAACCCCTCAGTATCAATATCCATCCCAATAACACCCCTTCAACAATCCCCAGATAGCCAGCTAGCAGTACTACTTCCTCATATTTAACCAGCCCAGCTCCCCGGCGCTATCATTCAACACCATTCTGGCTTTCATCCGGCTTCAACTCGACGTGCATCGAGTAACCAGAACCCGGCGTTGAAATCATCGTTGTCCACCCACACGGCGCCGGTGCCCACAGAGGACCTCTCGTTTGGGCTGCGCTTTCTTCGGCTTCGGCTGGTTGTTTGGGTGGAGAGCAGCGGGTGGTAATATAGTTCTATTGCGAGGACTACCAGTCCAATAATCTTGATCGGCGGATTGAGGTCTGGCGAGCCGCGGTGGGGGTATCACAGATGGTGTTACTCGTGTCAGTGGTAACGGTGAGTAGGCTGAGTAGGCTGAATATGTAGGGGGAATGAAGGGAGAGGTGAATAAGGGTAATGCTGATGATGTTTACCATAAGGTTCATAAGCACAGCTAATGAATGAAGTGATTATAGTGAGTATGTATTCCAGTTCCCAAAATCCGTGAAGCGGAGGTTATCACTTACTAGTAAGCCCTAGGGAAGATTGATGATAACGAGGAGAGGAAATCAAAGAAATCAAAATCAGCTTCGGAAAATTCCATGAAATTAACAATGGGGGTGTACTTTCTTTTATTTGTTCAATGTCAATCGATGATCGATTGGAGGTAGGTGTTTTCGTCGCTCAGTCAGAGATCAATCTGAGCGTACAAAGAAATACTAGGAAGGGAAAAGCTAAGCTGGAACTTGGGTCAGTTCTGAAGCCAAATCAACTATGGGTTCGCATCCTTTCATGTGTTTTAAGTAACTTCCTCCTCCTATTCTGGCAGTATAGCAGACAATGCATCCAGTATCGCATATCGGCTTTATGAAACGTTCGGACAATGAGGACACATAGTCGGAGCCTATTGAACAAACTTTGTTGAAGTGGGTTCATCAAGGTTTATCTCCTACCGAGTGTAAGTGTAAAGGGGCAGTACATATTGAGCAGTATGAGGTCTCCAGAGAAGCCATGTATACACAATATATCATTGACTCTTGGACTCTTGAACTCTTAACTCGACTCGTTCGACTCATTCGACTGAATTCTCCTCCACCACTTAAATACAGATACAGCAAAGAAACCACAGTCCCAATGGTTCGATGGCGTAGTTGGTTATCGCATCTGTCTTACACTATGTTCACAGAAGGTCCTCAGTTCGAGCCTGGGTCGAATCATAAGATAGGTAATTGCTATCAGTTCATATTTTTTTGGACAACTACAAACCCAGGAACAGTACCAATATGAATGCAATACTGGCAGAGTAATCAAAATCACCTCACTTATGGCAACATATGTAATGTCAGTGAAGTCAACCAGCAAAAGACAAGTACCTTCCCAGCATAACTGAAACTAAACTCTCATGCTGATATGGTAAACAGGCAGGATAATACTGTTCTAAAGGATAAGAATCAGCATGAGAGCAATCGAGAAGAAAGGGATGTACATAGACTTTTGATAGTGCTACCAAAAGACTGTACCACCTGCCACAGCCACACATCACTGTACTCACCACCTGTACCTATAATGAAAACTTTTCTCAGCTCTGAGGCATTGGAGCACTGCTGGGTCAGAAAGGATGACTTCACTAAGTATTCTGAGGTCCAGGGGCAAGGAGGGAGTAGTGCAATATCAGGCAATGCTGGGAAGTTCCAAATATGGTATTGAGACAGTACAATTTGTGATGCGCACCAATAACACTGAGAGAGTAATTCAACTACAAGGAGTGAAACACACCCTATTATTTGGTCATAACCTGATCTTGTTGACAATACTGGAAGGCAGTGGGATGCAGGGTGACTGGGGTGAGGGAATAATGACAGTCAGAGCTGCCAATGGGCAGATAATACTCAAGGGATATGGCAGGAATAGTAAAGTGTATGAGGTGGAGGTACTAAAATAATAGTCAAAGAATTGGCTTTTTTTTGAGGGGGGTTACAATAAAGCTTCACCTTGCATAGAGCCTTGAGGATAAGCTCAATGTGATGAGCATGTTCAGCAGCATCTTTGGACCAGATAATGATGTCATTGGGATATATGTGACAAAAATTCCCAATGTATCATTGAAGGGCTTGTGTAATGCAGCACTGCTGCACCACAGGTGCATTCTGCAATTATTGGGGTATAAACCCCAATTTATGAATAAGAATGAATGAGTTTGTTGTCAAGACCATGCTCAGCACCTCTTGCTGGTGTTGGCTTTCCGAAGATCTTTGCCTTATTGTTCTTTCTTGCTACACATTCCCTTTCTACATAGTCAACTTTTATTGTCTTATTCCTTACCCTGACAGTACTCAATGTACAGCCTCTATCAGTCAGTCTGGCACTTCGCCTCAGTTCGCCAATTAGTTAGTATAAATACTCCTGTACTGTACTTTAGTTCCTCAGTTTAATTATCATCTTAGATCACCTTAGATCATTCTCTCCATCTTCTGAAGTCTTAAGGATTATACCTTGAGCACCTCTGTCTTGACCTTAGAACTTATAAGTTCTTTGGTTCGCTCCTCATTGTCGGCTTAACCGCTGAGCTTGGCCTAGCTGCTACTCGTACCTCTACATCTGAACCTACTCTCCGGGGACTAGCAGTGTAACAGTGGTGTTGTTAATAACTTCACTACTGTCCCACTTGACCCTCCGCACTCCGGTACCAAACAGCCCTTGGCATGGCTTTACGGTATACATGAGCTTAACATTTGAAATTGAAGATGAGGGAGTGATATGAAAGCCATTAGGTAAGATACAAAAGACAAAGGTATGAAAGGTAACAGTGTGAAAGACAAAAGACAACAAATCAGAGTGCTTGAGGTAGACAAAGACATGCAGGAGTCTTTTTGTACATGAAAGATAACAATTACATGCTTAGAGGAAGCAAGATATATCTAAGTTTCCTTGGGTGTGGTGATCTCTTGATCTCCACCCCAACAATCAAGCTTGAAACATAGTAGAAAACAAAAATTGGAAACCTGTGATGTTCACAGGTAACACTAATTGGCACTTGCAAGGGGATTAGATACTAGGAATCTGCTACGATTGGTAAGAGCAAGAAAAGGGCAAGAGTGAGCAAAGATACAGGAGAGTACTCTGTGCAAATAGATGAGGGGAAGCAGTTAAGCTGTGATCTAAGACCTAGTACTGTATATATAGTGTGATGTGTCATGAGTGTGACTAACAGTCTGTTTACAACCCCATGCCTTCTCAAGAAATGCAATTTATTGGTGGTATGCTGAAGAAAATGGCCACTTTGAACACTGAACACAAAGTCTGAAATACTTGACTACCTTATATAGCTTAACACTGTTCCAACAAAGAACTTGAGGCTTGCTGGATACAGGCTCAAAAGATATCAAGGAAATGTAAGGCCTGTTACAGGCCTGATTATATATGAGAGTATGAGAATCTTGTCACATCACGCGGCTGATAAAATAGGATATATTCGGACTGCACAAGAAAAAAAAAACTTGATTGTTCACGAAATTGTGCAAGACCCTGTAGTACATAATGTTTTTTGAAATGGATAGATCTGGGATGGATGGATGGTACCAGTACGTACGTATGATACAACAACCAACCAAACAATACTGTACATCACCTGCAATACTAGTACCGGTGGTGGGAACGAGAGCATTATGGTTATGATTACCACATGCCATATAAAACCATCCCCCGCGTCGCTTCACTCTCCCATACAACCTCCCAATCCTCTCACTAAACTGTTGTACATGTGGGTTCCTGGGGATCGCACTGGGGGAGAGCAAGATAGTGGATTTTTGAGTGGTTGGTGGGGAAAGGGAGCTTGATTATGAGGGGGAGGGTGAGGTGGGGTGGGGAGAGGAGGTGGTGATGTAAGGAAGAGCTGGAGCGGGTACTGGCACAGGCGAAGCACTAGTGCTTCTGATTGGACGTAGGAGGAGAGATTGATCCACCGGAATAGGTAATTCGGGTAGGGAAGATATACGGAATAACGCGAGAGGCGTTTGTAATTCGTCATCGTCGTCCTCGGGGGTGTGGACACGTGATTGAGGAAGGGGTGTTTGTAGATCGTCGTCGGGGTCTTCGGGGTATCTAAACTCAAATTGCTCTGTTGGGATGCTGAAGGAAGATAAGGTGAGTGTCAGGGGGAGTGGTGATGTCGAGTCGGAATGAGCGGAAGAAGTCGGGAGAGGGAGAGGGAGAGGATCCGGAATATCACGATCACTACGCATTGTCATCAAGTTCTCCTGATTGCCAGAAGAAGGACTGTGGGCGTCGTTGGGGGCATGGACCATGGAAGGGAAGAGAATCGTCGAAGTCTGTCTATCCACCACCGGGCCTCCACGCGTAGACGGGGTGAAACTCCCATTGTCATGTACCTGCCTGGTTAACAACGTCCCAGCGCTGTGACTCCTTGACCGTGACCGTTTCCATCTCCGTTTCGCCACCCTCTCCTTCTCCTCCTCCACACTGAGGCTCTCAATCACCACCACCCCCACAAAACTCCACACCACCATCGAACATACCTGTCCCACACTCTCCGTGATGAAATAGTCGATGCATAGACGGACGGCGTAGGATAGGAGGGCATCCAAGGATGAGGATGAACTCTGCGGTGGTGGAGAAGTAGGAGGCAGGGTGGTCAAATACCTCAAACACACGCCCTCCCAAACACCCAACAACGCTGGATACAGCTTTCCCTGGACCAACCCCGGTGAGCTGCCGAGTACGAAGCGGAGACAGAGCCCGAAGAGCATCGTTAACAGGATTTCCATTTCCAAAAAAGCTGTGGAGCGTGGGGTTTACATGGTCCAACTGTGACTGTCGCCTCGAGGTAGAGGTGCGATAAATGAAGTGACGCTTCGCACGTGACTCGATGCGGCAAAAACACATGCGCTGGAGCACCGTATATACAAATAACGAAACATATACGCCGGTAGGGAATTGGTTGCTGAAGAGCAGCGTAGCCCGGAGTACTGTACAGATTCTGGACAAGACAAAGGATGTCGTTGGTCTCCCCCAGGTCCAGCAACACAGTGACAGTGAAGTAATCCAGAAGAAAACGTGCTTGATACCTCCACAATCTTCTTCATCATCGCATTCGCCCGCGTGCTCAGCGACGTCCCTGAGGACCTTGGGCTCACGGATGAGGCCATCTTCGACGTCGTTCGTTGCTTCGGCGGGGAGGATCTTAACGGCATTATATACAGGATCGTCCCGGGGTAACAATGTCGTGAGCTAAACAACGGAGAGTCTAGAATGAAGGACGGGAGGACGGAAGGAAGGAATGAGAAGAACCTTGGGCTATAGGCATCATGAATCAAGTCAAGTCGACGACATCGAGCCGTCTCCGAGGTTTCCTGATAATGGTGTAGTGGTAATGCTGGAATGGCGTGTTCAGAAGAGGTAGGAAATGGACGGGGGACGGAGTCTTGGTGGACATGTTTTGTCGTCTAAGGAGAAAGGATCAAAAGGCGGTGCCGTTGAACCACGCGTTTCTTCAGCTCGTAGACCCACAAGTACTCTCTGCAGCACCACGGCCGGCGTTGGCTGTCACAGCGGTTGAGACTCGAGAAGGACAGTTTTCACAGAAAGGATAATCGCGGGGTCGGTTTGGTTTGAAAATGAATCATCAGATGAATGATAGGATGAGGAGGAAAGGAAGAATTGAAGTTGTATACCGAGGGATCATGAATTCGAATACGGGTAATCACTCCCCTTCGACTCTCAGAAAAACTTGCACATGTATGTTTCCAAAGCGCCGCAGCGTCGTCGTATAGTATAGAGCTTGCACACCCGCTTGGAGTATACGCAGGAGCACACGGGCTGTAGAGAGCGTTTGCGACGAGTCTGTACGAGGGGGAAACGATACAGCTCGGGAATGCGGCGAAGGAAGGTGAAGGGTTCGAGATTACAGAAG